GATATAAACTCGCAATTGCGAGTTAAATTCCAATTTTGAGGGGGGAAAAGACTGATATGTTATCAGAATTGCGAGTTTATATCTCGCAATTGCGAGTTTATATCACGCAATTCTGACTTTATAACTCGCAATTGCGAGTTATAAAGTCAGAATTGCGTGATATAAACTCGCAATTCTGAGAAATAAAGTCAGAATTGCGTGATATAAACTCGCAATTCTGAGAAATAAAGTCAGAATTGCGTGATATAAACTCGCAATTCTGAGAAATAAAGTCAGAATTGCGTGATATAAACTCGCAATTCTGAGAAATAAAGTCAGAATTGCGTGATATAAACTCGCAATTGCGAGTTTATATCACGCAATTCTGAGAAAAAAAGTCAGAATTGTGAGATAAAAAGTCGCAATTACCTCTTTTATTTTTTATTCAGTGGCGGAAATGGGCTTCCATAGTTTTTAGGCCTGTTGAAATAAAAAAAAAAGCATTTAATTAATATTTTAAACATTTTAAAATTAAACATGTAATTAATATTTTCCAGAGAAATAGCAAACAAATCAGTGTAATTTCAAATTTTAAGGGAAATTGGCAAGTTCTGTGTGAAGAACTACACTACCCATAATCCTGAAGCGAGATCCACCAATCAGAAAAGCTCAGCAGATGCTCTCATCCTGCTATTTGTAACTGTATTAATCTTCTGCACTGAACTCAAAATATTCTTTTCATACTTAATTTTTATATTGTAGTGTTGTTTTATTTGATTATGCCACAGTTTAAGTGCACAGTCTTCCACCATACATATACATTTTTTCCCTCAAATTTTTAATGTCGTGATTTGTTCCGGAGCAAGCTGGTTTGTTTCATTGAAATCCCTGTGGAGAAAATGAATAGGGAAGATACTTCCGGGATCAAAGCCATTGGAAAAATGGGCCGGTCACTGACTCACTGTTGCGCATGATGCAGTGCAGAGCAACAGATGCAGACTGAATCAGTCAGCTGTCACTTATGCCTCATACGTTTTCTTTGAGAAACATCTTTTTCAAGGCTATTGACTCTCCCTATGAAGATTTGTATGAATAAAAGAACAGGTTTTCAATAGGATGGCATTATCAACATGGCGATAAGCATTTGAAATTATTTTCAGTGCATTTCTTTTCTTTTGTAATTAGATGTAAAGCACCAAATCTGTTCAGCTTTGTATGTGCAATGTTAAAAGGGGTCTGCAATGATCGTAAGGGGTTGTTCTTCACGCCCATAACTGATAATCGACTGGTTAGCTTCTCTATCCTGCTATTTTGAGCTTGTATATTCAAGCATCTAGCAGATTGATGCCTTATAGGCATTGATTTGATCCACTGTGTTATTTGTTTAAAACCAGTTAAGAATTAAGGCTGTAACTAAATGACTTAAAAGTGCAGTGTCTAAACAGTGTCATCATGACTCATCAAAATGTATTCACTTGCATTAGAAACACTGATGGCGTTCTGATGGTGGTTCTCTCTCATTTAAACAGAGCTTGCAGTTGTCTATGATATATTATATAATAAACTATGTAACATTGGCAAGCAGTCTAAATAATATCTAGGTATATCTCCAACCTATTCCCGTTAGTGTTTATAGGACTCTCATAATATTTAATATAAATAACAAATTGATAAAATAGCTAAAAATAAATTTGAATAAAAATACATATTTAAATGATCAAATATATAAATAAATATTAATTATAAAATTATTATTTATTTACTTAAATTGAATTTTTTGTTAACAATTATTATGTTGACCTAGGTTAGCAGAAGTATATTTTGCGACTTGGAAACTTTTGAGGTTTAATACATTGGCTATAAGCGATAACCCATATTTAAAGAGTTACTCCACCCCAAAATGAAAATTCTCTCTGACCCTCCTATAGACAGCAATGTAATGGCGCTTTTCCACTGCGTGGTACGACTCGGCTCGGTACGGCTCAGTACGGCACGGCACGGGTCACTTGGAACCCCAACCGAGGTGGTACTAAA